GGTTCCTTAGCGTGAGATGAAGTAATTTTGTATGGAATCACTATGTATTATTGATTCTAACAAGACCACCAAAATTATTGCTCCTTTATAAGATTTTCAATGGTTACAGAGATATAGACTATAGTTGTACAATATATTCAAGTAAATTACTGAATATAGTTCTTTAAAAATAATTATATAGTTCTGCACTGAAAATAAACATAATATTACTAGCGGTGTACACTTTGAATCTCAAAGGGTTAATCACGAGTTACAATGATAACAGTTCAATTAGTTGTACAAAAAAATGTACAAATTCTTATACTGTGGCAATGACAATACAAGATTAACGATTTTAATAAATATATATTTTGTAATATTTCAATGAGTAGAAAAATTGTATCTCTGAAGTTTCGTGATTTATTGTAAGCCACTTCTTCAAAAAATATATTTATTGTTGACTCTCTGCATAATGCTCAATTCACTTGAAGTTGACCTTGATATTGATAACAATAAACTCGTTATTAATCGGATTAGCACTTTTGTTTGGATTAAACTCAAATTTCGATGCAAGTTTATGTATTACATCATGAAATATTAATTAAGCTGGCTATTATCTTTCTTATTCAGCAAGCAACTTTGAAAGTGCTTCAGATACAGATTCACTACTATCGTTGTAACTAACACACTAACAAGATAAATCACTGACTGCTTCAATATCAGGGCTTTTCGTTGACACATGAATCTAATAAATTTTTTGCTGAAAGATTATCCTATTTTACTTCACCTTGGGTTGGACTAGATATTATTCAAACGCAGATATTGCGATGTGTGCTACTTATATTAACATAAGTAGTATATGTATTAGTTGTGAACAGAAAGTCTGGAAGCAGAGAGACAAGAGGATCGAACACTAAGGAATGGGAATGGAATGCAATTTGTACGAAAATAAAAGAGCAATGAATTCTGAGTCATTTTGAGACAATCGATGGACATTTTGCAACTTAAGCATTTACTTTATGATTGTTAGATTTTATTAACATGCCCTGTAATTTTGTGTTAAATACATTAGATTGTCCCCACTGGTGTTCCTGTTCACTATAATATTATCATACAATGGAACATCGAATCGATAATAATCCTAAGTTCATCTTTTTAAATGATTGTATGAACAAAAAAATGCTGATTATAATTTTGTCAACTCTAAATGTTTATCCACTGTGGAGTTCAAAATAAATTAGGAATATGCTTCAATAATGCCTTTTTAAATAGATGATTGGATCTAAACGGTAATATTCAAATTACCTAAGTTATAAATTGAAGTAGTCGGTAGTTACGTATTTTTAATGTGTACCGATATATCTTTGTTGTATAGATGAAGGAAACACATTTATATAATCCAAATAACAAACTACTCGTCTCAAAACTAACTCCAAGATATAAGCTTTGTGTTCCGTAGAACATCGTGTATTTCATTGAAAATATAAACTGAAACACTTACTGAATAAAGTGTTTAAACTGTAATACATCAGAAACTAGAAAATATTGAATATAACTGTTCAATTGAATTATTTTAAGGATTGTCATCAGAAACATTCATGACGAAAACCTATCTCAATTCAATAAAATTTCAGATTCAATGGTACTATAATCCTTGAAACTCAATTTCAATTTCATTTAACTAAAATGTGCTGTAAGCTGTTTTCATTCATGAAAACTATTATCAATATCTAGTTAGTCTGTTTACGATAGTGGCTTGGTTTTGAACTAATCACTAAAAGGATTCAGTGCAGTTTAATAGTAATATTACACTTACTGCAATATATAGTGTGCATTACATATTGTTTAGCTACAAAAATAATAAAATTCTTTAAGCTGGTTTATATCATGAACCGACTTTGGCTAAACAATCATTGAACGATATAAAGTCTATAAAATATGTTTCACCCTACCGTAGAATTTCTTAGTACTGCAACCTCAAACCTAACCATTTATCAAGCTATTCTAATGCTTATAATTATGGAAAGATATAAGTAGAAACCTGAACCTCATATTTTGTATATAGTTAGTGTTCACTAATTTAATTCGCTTTAATTTAAATAGTAAGAAATATATTATTTTCTGACTTCTTTTATATATATTTGTTGAAATAAGGTGACAATCATGCAATTTGGTTTAATCTCATATCTACTTTAATCTAATGAAGAAAATACTATATCAGATTACACATCTCAAATTTTCTGAATGTTACCTGTTTCTGAGGAAACGCCCTTGAATTCAATTTTCTCATTAAATTCCAAGTGTTAAAAGATTTCGATTTCATGATTATTTATTTTCTTTGTTGCATCACTTTAGTAATAAGTGCGTTTTTCGTAATCATGATAATTACATATTCTAGTCAAACTTACACTACTTTGCACTTATCTGACTTATTGGTTATTATAAATACAAATATTGTCTGGATTGTAGTGTCCAATGTAAGTGTAAGAAATGTCTTTCACTTAATCATTTTGGGAAAGTTCATATCTAACTAACTCCATCAGCAGATAATTTTAATTGTTAGTAAGGGGTTATAGAGATTGGTGAGTTTCATTTAGACCATGAACCAATCTAAGGTAGACCACCATTGAAAACCGAGAAGCACTGGACGGCTGTTTCCACCTAGTGTTGGGCTCCATAGTAGTACGCATCAACAACCCCATATCTGATAATGCAACCACCGATCATTGGTATCGTGACCAGTGAAGCTGAACCGGGTCAGGTATGAGATAGTGACCCACCGAATACGATGAAAATGCTTGAACAGTGTGGTAGATTCATTGAACTTATACGCTGGAAACGTTCAATGCCGACTCAGCGCTCTTCAGGCTAAGGTTAGTGTGCGAGTCCGAAGGTTCTGAGTTTGGTTTCCTCATCTGGATCGTGGGTGCGCACTGACTAGGACGGAACAGTCGTTTAGTGCTTCTAGGTTTTATAGTATTGATCCAGCTTAAATCGGTTCATGATCTCAATGAAGTTATTTTAAGTGGATAACAGTATATACCCCCACAGCCACGGACATCGAAGGAATAATTAAATGACGGTTATTAAGTCATTTTCTGTCCACTAATATTAGGAATAACGAAACAAAATCCTTACATTTTATTATGTACTACGCTTTAAATGATACAAAGAACGTTACTGAATAGACTTCGCCATTAAAAAGCAATTTAGGTACTAAATGGACAGAATTTACAAAACAGGTAAAGAATATGATGCACTGAGATACTGTTCCGATAAAGAAAAATTCTACAGTTGGCATCGCGGAATTCTTTGTTGAGTGTAAAACTGAGATCAGATATTATAACTAATCTGTGGCTATTCCATAATTAATAAGCTGTGATAATAACTTTCAAAACACTAAAAACATAGTGCAAATTAATTTTCTTTGTATCTTAGTAGGACTTTATTCAATGAAACATACAAATTCTAATCATACTGATACAAAAAAAGTGTTTTCCAGTTGATCTGTATTCAACTCATATACTTAAAACATCCCATGAAATCATGTTTCATAAGTAAACCAAAATAATGGCAAAATCATACATATAGTGTTCAAATGTTAGTCTGGTTGTTATATTAAAGTAAGCAAACAGAAATTATCTTAATAATATCGACATTAAACTTAAGAGTTTTTAAGTAGTCTGAACAATGCATAAACTTTTATTTGTATTTAACGAGGAAATTTACTTTTGTCACTTGTGTGCATGCAAGAAGTTAGAACTTTTATCCCTGTAATTACAAAATACAAGTACACTTATATACAAGAAATATGAGAGGTCATATTTGTTAGCAAGACATTTGTTAAGTACCTATTAATCTTAAAACACTCCAAGATAGGGATAAATATATTTATTTGTTTCATAATTATGACATCTGATTCTCAGTATTACTGTTTGTTCAATTAACAGAAGACGAAATCTAGTAGAGTTCAGCAGGCGGTTAAGAATCGGTTGAATGAACAAAACACTTAACCAGTGTGGTTATAATTATGCATTTAAAAAGTATTGACCATCATATAATTTGTAAACCATAAAATATCTCATTTAAGGATAGAGATTAACTCTTGAAATGATAATTGTTATAACGCCTCCAACACATGAATTTATATCAATAAATATAACTGAATGAGGAATTAGTCTATCCTTATGTTTTTCCATAACCTATTGTTAGACTTTATCTGTATCACTGAATATAGTGACTAAAAGATACCATTAATAAACCCCAGATTAGAATTATTGGCTTTCTGTTTTTCCAAGATCCTGATTTTATTTTCTATACAATTACCTCAATGAATTATATGATGGCTGATATTGGATGATTGTGACATTTTGTATTTACTCGCTACGAAAACTTTTGAGGGTATGAGCATGAAAATTTTTTTTAAGAATGCAGTAATTCGTTTAAACGCTATTAAAATATATAATTAATATGTCAAGTTCCACTCTTTATTTTGCCCAAATATATAAAAATATAGCACTCTGAGAAACAAATTATCAATAGCTATAACACAACGTTCTAACTTGAATCTAAACTAGTAATAGAAGGATTATTAGTTCTCATTATTATTGAAAATGTAATCATTGTACAAATAATTGGTTTTCATATCCATTTTTAAACAATAATAACTGATTATATTGTCAGGCCATAGGTTTAAGAAGTTCAAAGGGAGGAAAAAAGCAAGGTTGTTCATTAATGCGAGGGCAAGCGGGAATAATCACTTTAAATCATAGTTGTTTAAATGTGTCCTTTATTTAATATTCATTTTTAGTCTTGACTTTATTGTAATTAAATATATCAGATTAATTATTTTACTAAGAAAAATCTGTTACCTTTGACAATAAAAAGGTTAAAGACGTAAACAACAGGTTTTTAAATGAATTACAAAACTGCAATTGTTTCCTAAATATTTCAGAATCGATTTTTACATAATATTACATGTATTAAAATATGCTTATACCTTTTCATTTATTGATTGACAGATTAGAAATTTTAATTGCAACGGTCAACATGAAACAAAACCTAACATTTGCTACTCTTTGGCCAGATGATAATGATTTCATGTCAATCGTTCATCCACACTGGCATAAATTTACTCAACCTGATCCATTGTATTACTATCTAGTAGGAATTTATATTGGTATTGTTGGTATATTAGCAGTAATGGGAAATTCTTTGGTAATTACATTATTTCTTTTGTAAGTTTTTGTTCAAAATGTTTGTATTTCGTGTGTCAACCGATAAATCCACATATAAACACAGTAAAAATTTCGTAGAAAATAGATTTAAATAATTGAGAAATGGATCGTTTTTTTCAATATGGTTATTAAATTGGGGAATATTGATTCTGGTGAATTCAGTGAAATGTTTTTTCTATGTTTAAACCTTACATTGAAAAGTTAGAAGGATGAAAGTAATCTCTTACATTACCTAACGTAAAACTTCCATGTTTTGTGTCATATAGAAGTACTGCATACATTGAAACTGTGACTAATTTTATTCATTTAGTCTGTGTTAAAACCTTAGATCATTGTCCTCCAGGTCGGCATGATACAATCCGTTTGCGATGTCTATTTATTTATAAGCATATACTACTACAAGATTTTTTTAAGTTGTAAATAAAAATTTACTTCTCTTCCTTCGGTTCGGTATTTAATTGGTTGAAAGGCAGCTTTCAAATAAACTAAGTAAAAGTCTCTTTCACAAACTAATCTACAGGAATACTATTTCTTTCAGTTGAAATCAAAACCTGAAAGTCAAGACTGATTGATGTGTCATAAGGTAGTAGAACCACTGAAGACTAAGAGTGACTATTGTTCTTAACATTTTTATCAGAAGAGGGTTTCTGTGGACATTGTAATAATTTAATAGTTGGGTTCATAGGACAGTTGAAGCTAGACCACCATTGAAAACATGGAAACACTGGATTGCCGTTTTGTTGTAGTATGGGACTCCTCAGAAGTGCGTATCGACGATCCTGCCTCGCGCGGTTCGAGCCCAGAACCTCTGCTCTCGCACACAAACGTCTCACCTTTAGACTACTGAGCCGGCATCCAACAGTCTAATGTCTAACTTCAACTAGTTCACCAAATTGCATCAACGTCCACGATTGTATTCAGTGAGTTACTATCTCACTACAGAACCCGTTGAACTCCACTGGTCACTGCTTCTCACTAGAACTACATGAAATACCTCTTGATGACAATGATGAATGGTAGCCCAATTTCGTTGATTGGTTGAGTTAGAGATTAATACCGTTAGATGCCGGCTCACTGGTCTAGAGGTTAAACATTCGCGCGCAAGACCAGAGGTCTTGGGTTCAAGTCAGGCGAGCTAGGCCGTATGTGTGCGCTGGTGATGAGTCCCGTACTAGGGCGAAACGGTCATCCAGTGCTTCTAGGTTCTTCATGGTGGTCTAGCTTCAACTGACTCATGAACTCAACATTTTTATTAATAAACAAATGAATCTATATTTAAGCTACATAGTGTTTGGCAAAAGTTATACATTTTAGTAATTAGTCTGTCGTATAAAATGAACAAACAATCCTTTTATGTAATAAAAAATTCCTTAATGTATCTAATTTTAACTATATATTTCAGATGTAAACAATTACGAACACCACCAAATATGCTAATAGTTAATTTAGCTATCTCTGATTTTTCTTTTGCACTTATCAATGGTTTCCCACTAAAAACAATCGCATCATTTAATCAACGTTGGGGATGGGGTAAATTAGGTGAGTAGAATCTTTACTACCATTTATCTGATTTCTTTTTCTGTGTGTGTTTTTCCCTATTTCAAATGTCGAAAATCATATTTATGGTTTTTACGCTTGTTTAATGTATAAAATTATGTAGAACTTCATTTCAATATAATTGATGTTTGAGTAAGTAAAATGTACACAAAAATAGGGAAAACATCTACTAACTGTTTTCGTGCAAACTAATCATAAATATTGTTTTCAATGTTTAATTTAAACCAAATAAAATTATGTTTTATTTGTGATCGAATGTCCAATTCAATAGGTGATGATTATTATAAAATAGGATAGAAACTCATAGTGACATGTGTAACACTACAGGTTATCGATTATCATAGATTTTATCGTACAATATGTGGTAGGTCCAAAGAAGTTTCAATGACTTATCACAATAATTTCAAGTAGATAAATGATCGCATTCAAGTTGTATTTTATATTTCTATTCCAAAAAAGTATACACTATTGTATAGAATAAACGAATATTTGTCAATATACTGAAATTAAGTTCTGTAAAACTGATTACGTTTATTTCGATGGACAATTGATAATGAACTAAAGTATTAAATGTACTTAATTCCTGAAGCCAGGCTTTGAAAGATAAGCATATTTTGTTTGTTCTATTCCTTACAAATGACTTCGGTAAACTATAATACAATGTTGTTTTTTTAAGTAACATTGACAGTGAATGGGTTTAAAATATACTTTTTTTTCATTTCTAAAGCTTGTGAGTTATATGGATTTGCTGGTTCAATATTTGGATTTATTTCATTAACAACAATGGCTTTTATTGCTTTGGATAGATATTTAGTAATTTCACAACCATTTAAAACATTTTCACGTATCACTTATGGAAAAGTTATAGTTATGATTTTTATCACATGGATATGGTCAGCATTATGGTCAATTCCACCATTTTTCGGTTATGGTTAGTTTATTATGAGTCGCTTTTGTTTTAAATAAGATGTTTTTTTTAATTTAGAACTTATCAATATTCGTTAACTTATAGAAGAGTATAATCTTCCCAAAATTTCTAAAGGAAATATTTTGATTTCAATTAGATTAACGTAACGGCAAGCATTTTACAAACTAACTATCGAAATAATGTTCACTTTAAATCTAATAGCCATTAACCATCAAATATTCTTTTATTCATCAATGATTTTTATTAAATTTTACAACGGCTTGTTAAGAAAAATAAATTTCTTTCATTATAACTGTGTAGAACGCTAGATACGTTTTGTATATATGTTGCTAACCTAAATTTAATTGTTAAGATAATCATCTCAGAACTTCTTTTTCAGCTTCTGACTATAGGATTTCTAATTATAATATAACTTGTATTAATGAATGCCTTTTCAAATAGTTGAGAGAACATCACCAATTTCTTTCAAGACAGTAAATTTCCATAGACAAAACGCCAACAAATAAATTAACCAGTTATTTGGATAATCGAAAAATCATTATGTTTACAAAAATTACACCAAGAAAGTGAAATAGCTAAATATCGTAGTATATTTAGAATATATATAGTATATTTCGAATCTCGCTGGGAGCGGGATCGTGGATGCGCACTGCTGAGGAGACCCATACTAGGACGAAACGGTCGTCCACTGCTTCCAGGTTTTCCATAGTGGTCTGGCTTCAATTGACTTATGATTTCAACCAATGAAATTTGTAAAAAAAATCTCCACAAAACCCATTCATTACAAGAGATTTAGTTATAGAATTATCTGACGATTTCATTAATTAAATAGTACAATATAAATTATCGTTCATACGATAATCATTCTAAAATATTATCTTCAAAACTTTAGAAAATTATTTAACATTACAACCATCATTAAGCATGAAGTGTTGTAAATGCTAATTTTTATGTATGTTTTTTTTTCTCTAAAAATATAGAGTACATTTGTGTATTGGTATCCATATACATGTATGATGTTATGGAATGTAATTTGTCAAGCATACAATTTTTTTTCAGTTTTCCAGAACAACTATCAATTCTAATCTTTAAACAAAATAGTATCATAATTTAAAGAAAAATTCAATCATAGTTCTCTTACCTATTTATATCCTTTTTATGACACATAAAATAAATGGATCGAAGAAGAAATAAACTGAATTCAATTTTAATATAAACAGTATTCTAATTTCTATACCTGATGACTTAAGAAAATACACAATGAGTATTGTCATAGAAATATAAGAGTAAACCATCAATATTATGTGAATTAGTATAGAATCACTAAATTACATGTTCTTATACGTTAATTTATTGCTCTTAATGAATAAATATCATTTTTGATCTTATATAATCATCACTTATCGAGGCATACGCACAGTATGCACATATGCCAATAACAGACTGATCAATTACAGTCTTAAACCTCAATGGGAAGATACAAGCAGAACAATATCTAGTGAATTCAAATTCACCCCGTTGCACAGCAAGTGACTATCAGGACTCAGTAGCTGAGTGGATAACGCGATGGCGTTTGAAGCGAACGGTACTGGGTTCGAGTCCCAGAGTGGACATCAACTCTCTGAGATGCAGGTACATCCGGCTGACGAGTCCCAAATAGGACGAATCGCGCGACCTGGATTCCACTGCTAGCCACTATCCATCATTGCTTACAAATAGCTTGTGAATTAAGGTAATATCGAGGCATACGCACAGTATGCACATATGCAGTCTTAAACCTCAATAGGAAGATACAAGACAAACAATACCAAGCGAATCACTTAACTGATTTCATACAATTTATCTATTTGATAGTATTTTCATTAAAACAAGAATAGGAAGAATCCATTTCAATCGATGTGTTTGAAATCATCCAGATACATAGAAGTTTTATAAAGTAGTCTTTCATGAATATAACTTGTACAAGTTACTCATAAAATTATTCACTCTACTAGTAATGTACTTTCATAATTACACAAATCGAACTTGCATAAAAATGATATGACAGTCATTCACGAAAGGTATGTACAAATGTTTGTTAATAAAAGTAGACAAAATGATGAAATTAACAATAATTACAATAGTAGTCGTGAAATAGCTGCAACTATATTGATAATGATGATGTTGTAAACAAATAGGTTGTTAAAGTGAATAAGATTTAGAATTCTTTTCGAACGATCAATAATAATAATAATTAACTTCACCTCACAATATTTGTTGCTCTTGCCTTACAAAAATCAACTAATCAATGAATATTATGTAATGAAGTGTCATATGCAAGCAAAACTGTTATTCTACACGTGGTTTAATAAAGGTTCTACTAAAAAGTATTAACAATATTATTTACCTTGAGTTATAATTTTTAATGAAATGAAAATTCAAGCAAATCTGGCGTATACATTCAAAAGTTGATCGACGATTTCTTAACATTATAAATAAATCTTCACTTGAACATTAATCTAAATGAAACCTATATATATCGTTGAAGTGTTGGATCTGAATCTGGAAATATGCATGCTTAAATATAAACAATTTCTAAACATATTTCTAAGTTTTATAAGTTGTCATGAAGAACGAACTCTTAATGTCCTTCACTTTCATGATTTTCTATCTAATGTTTAGACTAAGTTATTCTTTGATTCCAATATTTATTATTCATTTTATTTTATTTTACAATCTATGCAAATCATTATAATGGACAATTTAATGATTCAGGAAGTTATATACCTGAAGGTTTTCATACATCTTGTACTTTTGATTACCTATCAACTAACATACGGAACTTAATATTTAATGCAGGATTATACATATTGGGATTTCTTTGTCCTGTGTTTATTATAATCTTCAGTTACTATCAAATTGTTAAAACAGTTAGACTCAATGAATTAGAATTAATGAAAATGGCACAATCATTAAATGCACAAAATCCATCGGCTATGAAAACAGGCAAGTTGGATGATATCCGTGTAATATTATTATTAAGTGAAATACTAAACAATACATTTTTAGAAACGTTATATTTTACAGATTGTTTAAGATTTATGTGTTTCTACATATATTTCATACATCTAACTGTTAGATCAAAGCTCTTTCTGTTATGAATTCGTGACCCTAGGATCATTGCTGGTCAGATAAGCATTGAATGTTCCTTTGATGTCTTCTTTAAACATTATCAATGTCAACAATAAGTGATCTGAGGATGAGATAAGATAATTCAAGACCTTATAAATCTGAGAAAATTAGCTTGAAAATAAAGTCTTCAAATTAAATGGCTTCTTAAAGTACTACTTAAATTTCAGCTTACGACTTTTCAGTTAATAGTTTATCTAATTATCAGCTACGCTTCCTCAGTCACTTTTAGTATGATAAGTATTTATCATAAATAGGCATTTTGTTTTTCCAAAAGAATAAATTCCTTTTCGAGATCATGAATGGCCAAATATCTCATGAACTCTTTGTTATTACTTTGCTTTGATATTTTTAGGTGATAAGAAGGCAGATATTGAAGCTGCTAAAACGTCTATTATTCTTGTTCTTCTCTATTTAATGTCATGGTCTCCTTATGCCATTGTGTGCTTAATGACACTGGTTGGAAGTAGAGATTCGTTAACTCCATTTCACTCTGAGCTCCCTGTGTTATTTGCAAAAACATCTGCTGTATACAATCCTATTGTATATGCAGTCAAACATCCTAAATTTCGTTTGGAAATCGAGAAACGTTTTCCATTTCTTATTTGTTGTTGCCCACCTAAACCAAAGGTATGTAAAACATGTTAAAAGTTTATTACTTATCCTTTTAATAACATAAAAATTTATTATTCAATATTTAAGACCTCCTATCCATGATATTTTTTTTGATACTTGTTTGTACTCTTGATATCTATGAATCTCACTTATACTTCTCAGACCGGATAGTTGTTCTCATCCAGTGACCTTATTGGATAAATAAAACGACTAATAGTTATTCAATGCCACAATTGAGACGGAATTTGTTGAGCCAAAGTATATCCATCCAAATATCCTCAACTAACACAGTAACATTCTTGGAATTAAATGCATACACTTTGCTGAAATATATTTGAATATATTTCCATAATCTACACGCTTTCAGTGTACTGAATATAAGTTGTTTTATGTACGGTTACTTGTTAAAGCTGACAAAAGGTAACTGTACTAACAAAAATGTTAAAGTCGTTGAATTAATGTTATAATTAAAAGCTAATAAAATGCTCAGGAATGTTTAACATTGTATCCCTCATTTTGAAAATGAACAATAAATAAGCAAAGATAGATAGTGGCCGGCTGTGGAATCCGGACGTGCGTTTCGTTCTATTTGGAACATGTCAGCTGGATGTACCTGCAATTCAGAGTTGATGTTCACTCCTGGACTCGACCTTAGTACCGTTCGCTCCAAATGCCATCGCATTATCCACCTAGCCACCGAGTCCTGATAGTCACCTGCTTGTGCAGTGGGGTAAAGTTTAAATTCACTTGGTATTATTTACTTGAATCTTTCCATTGATGGTTAGGACTGCAATTGATCAGTCTCTTATTAGCATATGTGCATACAGTGCATATTGCTTCGTTCCATCTTTCTTTATAATGCTTTTGAATTAAGGTAATATCGAGGCAATACGCACAGGATTCACATATGCCAATAAGAGACTGATCAATTGCAATCTCAAACATCAATGAGAAGATTCAAGTAAACAATATCAAGTGAATTTCAACAATAAATAATCCTAAAAAAATACATAGTAAACAATATTTTCATATAAAGTGACAATTAACTTTGTAGGAAATCTCTGATTGATATCGTTATCCATTTCCAGAAAGTTTGTGGCTAGTTTGTAAAACATTTACTAATTAATACCTTTGCTTATAATCTAGATTGACTTCTCATTTGGTGTTATTATAATTAGTTGCGCTTCTATATTGTTTGTTTACAGTTGAAATTCTTTTCCTGAATATGTGATTGCGTTTATGATTGATTTTTAGTTTTATTAAGTTTGCAGTAAGATAAAAATATTATCTTTATCAAACAATACCATATTGCCGTATACAATTATTACATTATCATAATCGCTTAGGTACATTAAGACAACTGATCATTCTTGTTGATCACATAATATATTTCTTTTTTTTCCAAGACTAAGATATATCAACACTGAAACCACAGCAGTATGCTAACAAACTTTTAGTGACGAATTTATGTTGACAAATTATTTGATGACATTTAGTGATTATTTGTACATTGAAGTTTGAAGACTTAATGTAAAACATATTTCTTTTTATAACCAGATCCTGCCTTGTATTGACAATAAATTTACTAGTTAATCAAATTCCTAAATCTATCTTATCAGATAGACACATATTAAAAACGGGGTTTATTTATTACGTTTCAAAAAGTCACTTACTGATTTCTGATGTTTGTTGAAGGTATTTTGATAGTACTTTGATTGATGAATGTAAAATTAATTTCGAATGATCTCAAAAATTGTATTATACTTTCTTAATGTTGAAGACAACATTTGGGTTCAGTGATTGAAATAAATTTTTGTCTTAATGAATAAAATAATGTATTAAATTAGCTATTGCAAATATTTCTTAATAGACTGAAATTTTTCCGTTTCGTTTACCAGTTTTACTTTCCGAATAAAGAAAACTTGTGAAGTTGAAGATCAGTTGCTTTAAGTTTGAATGTTTTTAAACAGTTATTACTTAAACGTGTTCTTATAGAAGGTACATTTTATTTTAACTTTCAGGGTGTGATAAGTATACAGTTCTGATTCAGCATCCAAAAACATCGCCACTCAATTCTTTTGTATTTAGTCATATTCAAACTAGAATCCACGCAAACAGTTCTTTAAAGGATTATATAACTTTTTTAGATTGATTAAGCATACATAAATTATCTTAGTAATTATGTTTAGAATATATTAAGAGCTTGAGTTACGAATCAATAAACAAACTGAATATCTTTCAACAGCCCATCCTAGGACTTTCATTTGAAAATACTATATTAACCTCTAATAACCCAACTCAAGATTACCAATTTCGAATAACAACAAAATAATGTAACCAACATGGCTTTCGATCAGACTTGTACTATGATGTTTTTTTTATTCAGGATTCAACAAATGTGAATGGAAACTAAAACAGAAATTTTATTTCAACGCGCAATGATTTATCGATTTTTTAATCTATTCTTGCCCCCAAATGCCCTGGTATGGCCGAGAGTGAAGAAAGTCCGCTCTCCCTCTCGAAATGCTCTCACATGGCCACGCGTATATAGCCAATGTCAGGGAAGTCCTACTCACTGCCTTCTCGCACCACGGGTGTTGTTTACGAAGTTGAGAGGACGAAAAGCGAATGTCCGACGCTTTGACCGGATTCCAAACCAATGGTGCAGATGGGCTCCAGTATCCTGCGGGGACAAATGGCATATGAACCAATTGTTGGTCACCGGCTTCCATGGGACTGCATCTCCTTGCGATGCTCCACTGCCTTGTGGGTCAACCCTTCAGGTCGAAGGCTCAGGAAGTGGCCCCCTAAGAAAAGCACCTGCTTCGGTTTGGGCACCCGGGCAGTATCACAGCCCTCACACAAATCAAATGAGATTTGTGTGGCGCATATGTATTTGGTACCTCCTTGTACCAATATCTATGTGTTAAAATAAATAAATAAATAATCTATTCTTGGAAATCAATCATTGAAGATTTAAAAACTAAAAAATATTTTTTTAAATGATTCAAATATACACTTGGAGCACAATTGATTTCCTAACAAACCTCTAAGAAGAGATTTCATTTTAACGATTTTTTTATAACCTGGCATTATTTTCAGTAAATAGTTGTATTTTTTCCAAAGAAAACGATCTAATATATACAATCTATTCTCAGAAGTTAAGTTTTATTTTGAACAAAATCATAATATAGAAGTACTGGATGTATATTTTGTGTTCTTTTGTGCTAACTAAGATAGAGTTTTAAACACGGATCAATGGTATTCAATATATATTAAATTTCACCAGAATGAAGAAAGGAACTACATAGTGCATCTTCAAATAAATTTAAAAATGACATGCATTTTGTTTATTTTTTGAAAATATAAAATGACTTGAAATATCCAGTCGATGATAGCTTTTGACTGGAATTTGAATAGGCTCAATACATATTTGAGTACCCTGTGCAACTTTCTTTGATATAATCTCATTTCATCTATCGTATATAATTAAATGTCAGTCTTCACTATGCTTAATACAATACCTTATATCTTCTTATAATGAATATCGGTTGAAATTTAAATGAATTCATTTAATTCCACAAACCATAATATTTTTACTTTGTCAACCGTAAAAATGAATGTATGTTTCATGTTATATACTATAAAGGTAGTTTTAACTGTTTGCTAGTCTGTAAATTTTAGTGAAAACGATTATAATAAATATCTATAAAGTGATAGTTAAGTAATTTTATTGATGAATATAGTTTTTTCTGAATTTCATAGAATAATCTAAGCATCCTTTATATTTGTAAATCACTATAATAACTATTTTTTTAATTATCCTATTTGAATAAAGCAAAAAATATCACACTGAGAATTAACACGTTCATCACCTAACTAATCCCTTATAATGACCTAATTTTATATTTTACCCACATATATCTTATATACCTATATATATCAATGAAACTGTGGGTGTAATCATGTTTTTAGTTATTATACCTTACTTAAAACACTTAAGACTTTCTACACTTTTGTCCGATATAGAAAAAAAAGAAAAAACAATCAAAATAATTATCATACCTTTACATAAATCTAAACTTCTTTTATCATTTACATTGGTAATCTGTTAATATAATAGTCTATTAGATTTCGAATGTAAAATAATTGAGAAAATACAATTAATAAAAGTATTAATCTAAAACATTTCAATTTATTATTATTTAATTATAAATAATAAATAAATATATCAGTGACTTACTATAATTATTTTACAATTATTTATTCAATTTAATATAATGTAATTGATAATACAATTAGTTGCTAAGTGAAATATATAAAACACTATTCAGTTTTAAATTGATCAATTAATTATTGATATTATTAATAAAGTCATTTGTAAAAAATACTCAAATATTTGTAGAGACAAAATTAATAACTCCATAACATTAACTTCCAATCAAATTTTATTGTTCATAAAATGCTAATGCTCACTTGTTTAATGAAATAAATAATTAAAAAAATTTTTTTTGTTTGTTTGTTGATAATTATCCATGTAAATGGGATCGTTTTTATGGTAATTTATACGGTACTAAAGACATATTAAATAATGAATAAATAAATAAATAAGATGTTACTGTTATAAACTGTTGCATTTTGTTGTTTGTTTGTTTTTTGTTGATATAATATTATCTTTTTAATATCCATCTAAACTTTAGCCAATTGGAAACTAGGCCAATACAGAAAATAATGTTTATCGTGAAAATTCTCTTTTTTTTATGTTTGTCCTGTTCCCTTTTCTTTTTTTTATTATAACAGGAACAGTCATCAGTTTAAGTACATGTATTTATTCGATATGAGTATACATATATATATATGTCTACATATGCATTTCTTTATATGTATGTATTTAAATGTAATCTAGTACAATCTATCCACATTAAATTTAATAAGTAACGGTAAGGTAAATAGAACAAGTGAATAATAAAAGAAGTTAATTTATTCAACAAAAAAACAACGGAATAGTGAAACTA